ATTGGCCAGGTGGCAGCGTCGGTGGACTCAAGCGTGGCAACAATAATGAGGTTGGCCCAGGATCGGACATTGTTTTATTCTGCTGTGCATAAGGTCGCTATGAGTCGGTGCTGACTCGATGGCACCTAACAACAACAACAACAATAATAAATTAAATGATTAAATTTGCTTAATTTATAAAGTTAGTACCTAATCTTCTTACTAATAAGGAGCCTTATAGGATAAGCACTGGACTGGTAACCACAATGTCAGCTGGTTCAAAACCATAAATTCTGTGGGATAAAGATGAGGCTGTCAACTGTAAAAAGATTTACAGTCTCAGAAACTCTATATAGGGTTGCTACAAGTCTGACAGTGTATCATTCTTTGGTGGCTTGCGTGTTGCTGTGATGCTGGAAGCTATGCCAATGGTATTTTAAATACTAGCAGGGGCACCCATGATGGACAGGTTTCAGCTGAGCTTCCAGACTAAGAGTTGGAAGAAGGAGAGACAGACTACTTCTGAATGTTAAATCATTGAAAACCTTATTGTAACAGTGGAACATTGCCAGATAAATAGTGCCTGAAAATGAGTCCCTCATGTTGGAAAGCATTAAAGTAAGACCTGGCAAGATCTGACTCCTCAGAGGACAGTTGACTATGGAGTAAAGCTTTCAGGACCTTTATTTTGGGATATAACTCAAAATGAGGAGGAACAGCTGCAAACATCCATTAATAATAAGAACATAGAATGTACAAAGTATTATTCTAGGAAAACTAGAAGTTATTAAATAATGAACAGAATGCATAAAGATCAATATCTTATGCATTACTGAGCTGAAATGGACTTTGGATCTCACAATCATATGGTTTTCTATGCCAAGAATGACAAACTAAAGAGGAATGACATTGTATTCATTAACAAAAAGAACATTTCAAGATCTATCTTGAAGTACAGTGCTGTCTGTGATAGGATAATATCCATATGCTTACAAGGAAGACCAGTTCATAACACTATTATTCAAATTTATGCACCAACCAATAA